CAGATTTTTCATTAATAGAAGAGGCATACAAACAAGCGATTTTGCATGATGCAAGCTTCTCTAGCTTTAGCAAATCCTCATCACGAAGGACATAAGCCTCATCTACTCGATCTCGCACACCAACTAGGTACCCACCCCCTAGTTGGACTTCGGAAAATCCTTCGGGCCCGAAGGGCCAGAACCATCCGGCTTCTTGCCCTGGTTGGGCTTGCCGGAGTTCTTGACGGACTTCCTCCAACGGCAGTGATAGGACTTGTGCCCGAGCTTGCCACAGATGCGGCAGCCTGCCGGGGGCTTATCCTCATCCTGAGGATCCTTGGCAGGCCCAGCATGGGCCCTCTTGGACTGAGTCCCAGAGGATTCCCCCTTCTGCTGATAGGGCCTCTTCCAAGAGCCACTGCCCCTGTGTGCCTGAGTCCTGTTACCACCCCCCCTAGGGCCTTCGGCACTAGGCTGCTGCTGAGCACGAGCGTGAGTCATGTACGCACGGAAATTCACATCCGTGTCAATGACCTGCTCCTTGCACTCCTTGTAGGTCCTCCACTGGTGCTCCCCGCGCACAACATGCACACGCTTGATGTGCTCAGGGAGACCCTGGAAGAACTGGTGGATGCCCTCGCTCTCAGGAAGAGCAGTCTTCAGCAGCGACATAGTTTTCTCAAACTCCTTGGCGTACTCGCGTACAGGCTGGTCACCGCACTGGATGTTCTCCAGGCGGCTACGCACCTCGAGCGCCGGGGGCTGACTCAGGAATGCCGCCAGCATGGCAGCTTTGAACTCCTCCCAGCCAAAAGGATGGCCATTAGCCTCTGCGTGACGCTTGTTGGCATACACCAACTTGCTCGCAGTGTCGTCCAGGGCAAGGGTTGCAGCGACCACACGAGCCTCGCTACGCACATTGTGGATGGACATAAAGTCCTCCGCAATGGAGAGCCAAGTCTCGACGTCGGTCTTGCCATGGACAAAACGAGGCAGGGCCGAAGGGCAGGAGCCAAAGGCAGTTGCTGCTGCAGTAGGAGGCTCAGCACGTGCTCCAGTAGGAGGAGGAACAGCAGGAGGTGCATCAGCAGGTGCAGCACGGCTGTTAGCGGCGTTGGCGACTCGCTCTGCTGCAGGAGCAGGCTGGTAGAGGTTTCCACGCCGGATCTCCCTGTACTGGGTCTGAAGCACAGAGATGCTTTTCTCCTGCTTCTTGAGCTGATCCTGCACGAACTGAAGAGTGTTGTGCAGGTCCTGAATGAGGCTGGAGGTGTCGTTTTCCTTAGGGATCAACTGCACCTCCTTGGTCAGCTGCTCAATCAAGGCCTGAAGCTTAACAGAATCAGCCTCCAAGTTCTGGATACGACACTGTTGCACTCCAATGAGAATATTCTGCTCCGTGAGTTGAGTCTGGAGCTTGACAGCAATGTTCTCAGTTTCATTGGAAACACCCTCATCAGAGCCAGCCTCTTCCTCATTTTCAGCATCAGCCTCAAGGTCAGCTTCACTTCCATTGATCTCCATGTCAACCACGAAATCCTCAAGGTTGAGATCAATGTCAGCAGCAGCAGCAGCATTATCTCCCTCAGTGCCAACAACGGGCACCTCCTTAGTAGCATCCATCTCTTGACCAGCAGCCATGAAACAGGTTAAGGAGAGGAGATCTCAACAGATCTTATAATAATCTTTAAGAAATCTGATTACTCTTATAGAATAATCCAATACAGAATCTCTTAAGATAGACTTGTTTGCCAAATCTCTCTATCACCTCAATGATAGAGCAAGATATACTCAAGAGAGTAATCCTCAACAAGCCCTTTATAGATCTGAAGGTACACTCTTCTACACAAAGTAGATCAAGAGTCTTCCACCAAAGGTGGGTAAGAGAAATTAATCTCTTCAAATTTCTTCTCAATGTTGATGAAGAAAAATGAGCTCCTTGTAGATCTTGAAGCTCCAATGGTGTGTTGAGGAGATTGAAGCTTGAAGCTTGGAGATCTTGTAGAAGCTTTTGTAGATCTTGAAGAACCACTTGTAGATCTTGAAATTTCTTCAAAATCTTCAAAGATCTTGATAGCTCCTTGGATGAGATCCTGGATCCACAAGCTAGGATCCTCTAAAAAAAAATAGTCCAAGTAGCAAATGGCCACACAAGGCCAAGGAAGAACCTTGCTCTAGATACCAATTGTAATACCTCGCTACCCACTGGGTCAAAACGAGGGTGTTATTTGGCGCAGCGGAGTGCCCTTAACACAGCCCACAGGCGTTACACTCGTCCCCCCCTGGTGCCAACGTCCCCGTTGGCCCTGGACTTCAGGAAGTCGGCCCCCTGCCGCTGGGACCTAGATTTCGCAGTGCTGCTGGCTGCGACTTCGCTGGTTGCTCAGGCCAGCGGAGGATCGTTCGCTGGGTTCGAGCTGGTTACAACCGCACTTCAGTTCTCGCCAAAGGCGGAAAGTGTGGTCCAGCCGGGATTCGAACCCTAGGCTCTGATTCCAAATGTAATGCTCAGGGCTATTATAATGGCGGATACAAAATAGTAGCTTTAACTAGCCTTAATAGCCTTGGAGATGAAGATCTTCTTGATGCCTTTGATGAAAAGCACTTGGAGTAGTAGTGTAGGGAGACTTGTGAGAGAGCCCAAAAGGACTTAGAGAAACAATCCCATTTCCAATTGTTTTGTTGGAGTGGGAGGTTGAGAATGAGCTTGCTTAGCTCAGACCCCCTCAATACACCCCTTGGGGAACTATCCCAACCATGGTTTCCATGGTGGGATGGTTCCTAGGCTTGGAGCCTATGTGGCAATTGTGTTGGGTTGGAAAACCCAACTTAGAACCATTCAATGGTTGTGTTTAGGATAGAGTAGATTGTAACACTTGTTTGGCAGTTTCTGATTGGTTGGAATTCCAACCTTCAACATTCTCTTGGTTGAGTTGGAAATGTTCCAAACCTCCAAAGTTGAGGCTTGGCAAACCCAAACCAAGTTTCATCCCAACCAACTCAACCATCTTCTCCAACTCTTCCTTTGTCGAGAGAAGTTCTCAACAATTGACTTAGAGAGAGATCGATGGTTGTTAGCTCGGTAGTTAGGGTAATACGTTACAATCAAGTACTAGCGGGCCTCATCATGGTTGGTTGTCGAAAGCCTAGGTCATGGTGTTGTGTGTGTGGCAGCGCAAGAGCTGCGGAAGTGTTGTGTTGTGTGTTTTTTGGTCGCGGTGTGTGGTGCGCCGTGCGACAATTTCTATTGGCTGGTTTTCTATTGTTTGACTCGGCTGTTCGCTAAACAATTCTCGATTTCGCTTACTGGGTGTGCCTTCTTTCGGCTCCCAACTTTCACTTTCACACCCCTCGCCACCCGTTGTTCCCCTGGGCCAAGTTTTAAAAACTTGTGCAATTTGGGCCAACGGCTTTAATCCTTCCCTTATACGAGCCACCCCAAAATCAGCTTTGCCTTCATCAGTCCCCCCCCCCCCACCCACCCCAATCAATTCCCATCCCATCCCATCCCATCCATCCTCCCTCCCTCCTCCCCTCCCCTCCCCTCCCTCCCTCGAGCATCTGACTGGACCAATTCCTTGCGCTTCGAGCTTCCTCCCTTCAATTCCCTATGCATAAAATGATTGGTAATCCACAGTGGCTGCGAACTGTACTGTACTGTACAGTACATATATCCACCGCTGCCCACCGGCTCCTCTCGTCTCGATATCTCGCCTACTCTCATCTACAGATTAGACGTCGCACCGCGGCACATAGGTGTCGCTACCGACGTCACGACTCACGAGACTTGACTGTTCCGCCCTTACTATCCCCCTGCTCCAAGGTTGGCTTCTCCCACCGCGGATTTGTCGCTCATCCTTCACTTCTTCGTGAGTCGACCTCACTCATCGAGAGAAGTTCTTTCCCCTTCTCTCCCCCTCTCCCCTTCCCCCGAACTACCACTCCATTCCATTCGCCTCAGTGCAGCTCCGCCCGCGCATATGCATTGCGCTCCGCGACCTGCGCTCCAGAGTACATTACTGTGGTGTCGTGTTCGACTCGCAAAGCTGACCGAAAAGGCTATCGAGGTTTGAGAGACACCGGAAGAGTGGCAGTCGGGAGCGGGTACATGAATCCTCATATGTATGCCAATTGCTCCTGCCTGCTCAGACTCGATAGAGGTTACCGGGTTACCAGTCTAGTCACCGCCGCACACCGCCAGCCCAGCAGGTGCTCAGATGTCTAGTTTCTCTGATTTATTCCTCTCGTAGTATCCGTTTCTTAGGCGTACGGTCTCAGGAGGACATATGTTACGAGAGGGACGCGCGTATACACCTGATGTATTCCTCTCGTTTTGAGGCGTACGGTCTCAGGAGGACATATGCTACGAGAGCGATGCGCCGCGCATAGTATGGCCTATGATCGTATACATCCGGATGTGTCGCTCTCGTAGCATCGCAGGACGTCGGCGCCACGTCATCATATTTCGCGACCCGCAACTGTGTTAAGTAGGCGTCTGCAGTTGCGGCAGCAATCCCGTTCTGCGAGTAGTATTATTCGAAATGCGGCCACTTAGTAATAGGAGTGCTTCGTGTAGGTTCCACCGCGGCAAATTAGGGTTACCATTAACGAAAGCGATAGAAATGCGAGAGTGCTTAGCGTGGATGAGACGGTCTCGGATCGCTATTCTGCTGTTGACTGTGGTCGCTCTCAGTTGCACCGCAGTTCACGCCGAAAGTCGCGCCGTGTCTCACGCCGCCAATGACGCTGGATGCAGCAGTAGTAAGCAGGCATCCGTAATTGAAAGATCCTCCAGAGAAGCGTCTCGACTTTCGTTTCCAGACGTAGATGATTCGCTGCCGGACAGCGCGGCGAAAACTTTCGACGAAGGTAGTAGCAGGTTACAACGAGAGTCGAGGCCCGGCGAAGAAGTACCTGCTTCGGCATTGTTGGCGAAACAGGGTGGCGGGGACCTTGCGGAGGCTGGCGAAATATCATGGCGAGAAGTGACGCCATCCCAAACGCAGATGACACAAAGGGAAATGCAAGTGGCGGAGATACAAAGGGCGGAAGCGGCGCAAGGGGCGGAAGCGCAAGGGGAGGGCGACTTGGAATCAGGAAAGCACAAAAGCAGCGGGGACCACGGGGAAATGGTTCTGGCAGAAGATATATCCAATCAACGGCATAACTGGTGGAGCTCTTTCAAGTCGCTTTGGACGAGTAACGAATTGACTCCAAGCGCGGACGACGAGGGTGCTCCTAGAGAAGCACGATTCGCCGAGGATGAAGCGAAAGGTGGAAGTGACGAAGGAGGGGAGGCGGGAGAGGGGGAGGAGGCGGAGGATGAAGGGGACGGGGAGGAGGAATACGCAGGTGAGGAAGAAGAAGTGGGAACCGGGGAGGCGGGGGGCGACTCGGAAGGGGAGTGGGACGAGGGAGGGGAGAGCGATGACGAGGGGGAGTGGGACGCGGAAGAGGAGGGTGACGATGAGGAGGAGTGGGATGCGCGGATGCGCTTGGAGGAATGAGCGCGGAGGAGCTAGATGGGCTCTGGCGGGCGGGGGACGACGCGGCGGAAGGGGAAGGGGAAGGAGAATGGGAAGGGGAGGGGGAGGGGGAAGGAGGAAAGGACCGGGACCCAGAATGGGGCACGCGGAGGGGGGATGAGTGGGACATTGGCGCGCAGGGCTGGGCGCGGCCGGAAGAAGCGGATGACGTGGCGGAAACGGCGGAATCGGTGGAAGCTGAGGCGGAAGGCAGCGCGCGCAGGGAGGGGAGCGGAGAGCGTCGGAAGGACAGATCTGGATCCGATGTTGGGTCAGACGAAGCAGATGTGACAACAACGAGCGTAGCGCAAGCGCAATGGACGAGCGACGTCGCCCTCAGCGAGCCAGAGTTCGACGAAGAGCTTTCGTTAAAGGGAAAGCGACGAACGCCGCAGCGCTCCCTCATCGCAGTCGCCAGCGCCGTTACCGGCGGTCGCAGCGTCGTTACGCGTGCGACACCGAAATCCAATCATATCGGCGGAAAAAAACCCAAGTTTCCCTCGAGCGCTGGTAAAAGGAGGAGCGGAAGCTCCGGTGCGCGATCCAGTTCAGCAAAGAAGCTGCGGAAACAGTTTCGCAAACGCTTTAAACGGGGATCGCAGCAGCTTTTGAACCTGCTTTGGAGTATCGCGGTAAAAGTGAACAATACAAAGCAGTTTGGATCGTTGCGGACGATTATAAGCGCCGTGATTACAAAGGGGGTGATTATCGCTTCGGAAGCGCTCGGGTTGAATATTCCGGAAGGACGCGCTTTTATTGCGACGCTCGTCGTCGTCGCGCGATCGAACGCGACTGGTAGCGACGGTTCTGCTCCTGCGGGAGCTGCTTCTGGCAACTCGTCTTTGTCTCCGGTACGCAGGACTGCTTGCTACTTTCTTTCTTTCTTTCTCCTTTTTCCCTTGTTGATTTTGTTTCTGCCTTCCTTAATCCGTGTTTCCGCGTTGGGCTCATCAGAAATACCCCCTTGCTCGCTTGCTTCGTAAACTCCCTAAATTACTCATTTCCCGTGTCAGTAATGTCATAGTTCTCTGCCCGCCCGGCCCCACTGACCTGCTTTGTTATTCTTCCCACCTCGTCATCCGTGTTACAGGCCACATTCATTTACGACGTTGCGTACGTTCCAACAAACAACACTTCAAACCGTACAGTTCCCGCACTGCCTCCGCCTTGCCCCTCTCCCCCTTCGCAAATCTCCCCCTCGCCCCCTCCCCCTGGTACTCCTTCCCCCACAATCTCCCCCTCCCCCGCGCAATCCCAACCCTGCAATCCGCAAACTCCCCCCTCCCCTGGAAATCCCTCCCCTCCCCCCCTCACCTCCCCCTCCCCAACGCCCCCCACTAACAACTCGTTAGAATCACCCCCGTCACAACCACCACCACCACCAACCTCACCCAACCCAGCTACACCGCCGCCAGGCTCGGTTTCCGAGCCTAGTCCTCCTATGGTTGTGGGTTCCACCAGTACTTATTTCGAGTTCACCTCACCCCAAGCCTCCAATAGCAGCAGCAGTGGCAGCAGCACCGGCAGCAGCACTACTAGCAGCAACGCCAACATACCTTCCGACCCCCCCAAGCGAAAGCTGGCAACTATATCCCCCTCCAGTAACCAAACCCCCAGGCCAGCAGGTGCCAGAGGTTCGGCAGCCGCCTCGACAGCAGGCTCGGCAGCAGGCTCGCCGCAGGGCATCGACTACGTATTCCCATCATCCACCCCTTCCTGCTCCTCTGGCCCGTTCGTCTCCATGCTCTTCATTCCCCTCAAGCCCTCCTGCCCCAGTCCGCCCAACACAAGACAACTCACTGTAATCACGTGAGTGTTCTTTCACACCCTTAACTCCTCCTGCTCTCAAACCCTCCTGCCCTAGTCATCCACCCCTTCCTGCTCCTCTGGCCCGTTCGTCTCCATGCTCTTCATTCCCCTCAAGCCCTCCTGTCCCAGTCCCCCCAACACAAGACAACTCACTGTCATCACGTGAGTGCTATCCCAGAACACTTATTCTGTATTCCCTTAACCCCTCCTGCCCAGTCCCCCTGAATGCATTAAGTCCACCCTGTCATCTTGTGATTGGTACTCCACACGTTTGCCATTGTAAACCACTCGTCAGCCCCGGTTCTAACAAACCCTCCCAGTAGTAGAACAAATAGCAACAATTACGATTCGTGGACTTGATTTCCCTCCTGGTGGGAGACAGCTCAATGTAATCACAGCACGTTGTATTGTCATGACTGTTGTTCCTGTTGTGTTCTTTGCTCCTCTTTTCTCCCTTCTATGACTACTGCTCCATTTGTTTCCTACAAAATCTTACTCCATTCGTACATGCATTCTTCATGAGTTTCTGACACTAATCATGCTGACTACTCCTTTCCATTTCAGGTATAAAAACATTCGTTACCTGCGACTGCGATTCGGGTTGCCCGGGAAAGGCTGCCAGCGCCTGTACAAGTTTCAGCTGCCCAACTTTATGGGGCGGCTGGTGAAAGGGCCAGTGACAATGCGGGTGTGTGCTCAGGGCAAGCCAAAAAAAGACTCGTGTGGGGTTATGACACTCACTGCTGCTGTTCCTTCCTGTAGACGGTAATGCAACAGTACCGTATATTTCTTATGACATACGGTATGTTTGAAGTTCTGTAACAGAAAGTTATGTTCATTCATGGAACATTTCGCACTCTTCAGAACAGGGTACAGTCCACATCTCTTCTGTGATAAGCGCAAGTTCACGCATGTTATATAAGATGGAATCAAATGAGGAATGGGGTACAGTACATCCTCCAATGCATAACATCAAGCTACCCTCTTCTACTGATTCCAAACAGGGGCTAGCATAACAGAACCTAACCAGATAATACTATATATTCTAGCAAATACCGTACTAGTATCAGACATTCACTAGGTGAGGGTGTCTTCTAACGAGGATGAACTCTCCCAGGAACTGCCTCGGCTCTGCACTGCATCCACCTCCCTGCCCTCCTGCCACGACTGCCCCACTATCCCTCCCCCTCCCTCCTCCTGCCCTCAGTTCTATCTACTGGTATCAAACGTTCACTTGGTGAGGGTGTCTTCTAATGAGGATAAACTCTCCCAGGAACTGCCGAGGCTCGGCATCCACCTCCCTGCCCTCCTGCCACGACTGCCCCACTATCACCCCCGGCCCCGCTGCCCTCACATAGTCTCTGAAATCGTCGTCAAATATGGGTGGGTGGGGTCCTGATAGGGTCACGTATAGAAGTGAGAAGAGGGGTGGGGTGGGTCGGTGGGGAGAGAGAGGAGTAGAAGGGAGAGATAGTGAGAGTGAGAAGAATGGATTGTGGAAGAGGGGCTTCTACCCCCTCGCCCCCCTGCCCTCCTGTCATGACTGCCCCACTATCACCAACAGCCCCGCTGCCCTCACGTAATCCCTGAAATCGTCGTTATATATGGGCAGGTGGGGTCCTGATAGGGCAGGGAATAGAAGGAAGGGAGATTGGAGGGAGGGGGAAAGGGTGGTTGGGTGGGGGAGGAGAGGAGTAGAAGGGAGGGAAACGGTGAGAGTGAGAAGAATGGATTGAGGAAGAGGGAAATTCTACCCCACCCCCTCTCTGCCCCTCCTGCCATGACTGCCCCACTATCACCCCTGGCCCCGCTGCCCTCACGTACTCCCTGAAATCATCGTCGAATATGGGTGGGTGGGGACCTGATATAGTCGGCAAGAGAAGGGAGGAAGATGGGAGGGTGAAAGAGTGTAGGGATGGAAGTGACAGCGAGAGTGAGAGTGAGAAAGAGAATACTGTAGGGAAAGGAAGCCCCATACTCACACCGCTCCCTTCCATGACTGCCCCACTATCCCCGCCAATCCCACTGGCTCCTAAAACGTTTCACAGAGTTCGACTCACGAGGGTCAGGGAAGCCTTCGGGCAGCCCGGAATCTTTCAGGTGCAGCTGCCCGGATTCGTAGTCAAATGATAGATCACACGGCTCGTCTGTTGCGAGGACATGCGTTGCCGCCCGGATGCGAAAGTACAAGGGTGTGATTACATTGGAGAGGCCAGTAAAGAGAGGGCCACCTGATGGGGTTGAAAGGAGAAGGAAAACAAGATTAAATTCACTTCTGAAACATGAGAGGTGTAGCTGAGGTGTAATTTACCTGAATTGTAATGCAAACCAGGCTCAAATACTGCGAGGTGTAACAAGCATGAGAGATGGTAACATACTTGAGGCTAGAACTTACCTGGGATGCAACGAACATGAGAGGCGGAACGTACCTGAGAGATGTAACCTAACTCAGAGGCGCAACGCACCTGAGAGATGTAACCTAACTGAGTGGCGTAACGTACCTGAGAGGTGTAACCTAACTGAGAGGCGTAACGTACCTGAGAGATGTAACCTAACTGAGAGGCGTATCGTACCTGAGAGATGTAACCTAACTCAGAGGCGTAACGCACCTGAGAGATGTAACCTAACCGAGAGGCGTAACGTACCTGAGAGATGTAAACTAACTGAGGGGCGTAACGTACCTGAGAGATGTAAACTAACTGAGGGGCGTAACGTACCTGAGAGGTGTAACCTGACTGAGAAGCGTATCGTACACGAGAGATGTAACCTAACTGAGAGGCGTAACGTACCTGAGAGATGTAACCTAACTGAGAAGCGTAACGCACCTGAGAGATGTAACCTAACTGAGAGGCGTAACGTACCTGAGAGATGTAAACTAACTGAGAAGCGTATCGTACATGAGAGATGTAACGTAACTGAGAGGCGTAACGCACCTGAGAGATGTAACCTAACTGAGAAGCGTATCGTACCTGAGATGACTCGACCATAGCGCAGCCCATCAGCACCAACAAAGAATGTCTGCAGAGGCGATGTTGAGGAGTAGGAAACACACAGGAGAAAGATAGAATTAGTAAACAATCGAGTTTTGAGACGTCTCCAAACATGACTCGACCATAGTGCAGCCCATCAGCACCAACAAGAACAACTGCAGATAGGTGGATGTGAGTTGGAAATATACACGGGCTAGAAGAACGGGATAAAACGCATGTCTGTTACAACAGGGCAGCAAAAAAAAAACTCACAGCATTCTTATTTGCAGGGTGAATCGAAAGTGGGCAAAAAACGATTTACCAGGCATACTTTGACATTTCAATCAAGCATATAATAAATATCTAGAAAGAAAGAAAGAAAGAAAGAAGGGAAACGAAAGAAGAAGAAAAAAAGAGAGGCAGAGGCATGAGCCAGAGGCGACGTTGTCACCTTTTGAAATCGCGCAAGCCATGAGAGGGGACCTGGAACTGGTGGTGGGGTAGTGTGTGGGGAGCGAGGAGAGGGGACAGAGATGGAATGGGGAGGAATAAGGGTGGAGGAATAAGAACCGGACAGTCACGTTTCCAATCCACTGGGCAAGCCATGAGAGGGGACCTGGGACTGGTGGTGGGGTAGTGTGTGGGGCGGGGATGGAGAGATGGATATGCGTAAGGAAGAAGCATTAGAAGCCATCTCTCCAATCCACTGCACAAGCTGTGAGAGAGGACCTGGCTCTGATAGTGGGGGGAGTGGGGATAGGTGGAGGGGGGGAGAGGTGGAGAGATGGATAGGCGTGTGGGGGAATGAGCATTAGAAGCCATCTCTCCAATCCACTGCACAAGCTGTGAGAGAGGACCTGGCTCTGATAGTGGGGGGAGTGGGGATAGGTGGAGGGGGGGAGAGGTGGAGAGATGGATAGGCGTGTGGGGGAATGAGCATTAGAAGCCATCTCTCCAATCCACTGCACAAGCTGTGAGAGAGGACCTGGCTCTGATAGTGGGGGGAGTGGGGATAGGTGGAGGGGGGGAGAGGTGGAGAGATGGATAGGCGTGTGGGGGAATGAGCATTAGAAGCCATCTCTCCAATCCACTGCACAAGCTGTGAGAGAGGACCTGGCTCTGATAGTGGGGGTAGGTTGGTGGTGAAGAATGGACAGATGGATAGGCGTATGAGCATCGGACAGTAGTGGGGTTAGTGGGGGTAGTGGGGGTAGTGGGGGTAGTGGAATATTCCGAAGCACAAGGCATCATACCCCAACCCACCCTCTGGTCATTTTCCCTCCCCTCCTATTCCAACCTCCCCCCTTCTGCTCCCACTTCCCTCCCATCACCTCCTCTTCCCTTCCCTCTCCCCTCCTCTCCCCTCCCTCTCCTCTCCCTTCCTCTTCCCTCCCTCTTCCTTCCCCTCCCCTCCCCTTTATCCCAAACACCACTCACCTCCAGTCACTCTCCCATCCCATATTTCTGACTGCAGCGGTGCTGACGTGGCAACGTCAGGCAGCATCCCGCCTGCTGACGTCACCGGGTCCGCACCTTCCTCCCCATCTTCCTGCTCCAGCTGAAAGCGATTTCCGGCCGCATCCCACATCAGCGTGAAGTGACTACAACGAGAGGAAACGGGGTCAGGGAGAGAGTGGGGGACCAGGAGAAAGGGAGGGAAAGAGGGGAAAGGCTAAAGGTTGGGAAGCGGCTGTGAACGGGGCATGGGAAGGGAGGATGGGACGGGGGTGAAAGGTTGCTGTTCCAACTGGAAAAGGGTGACGTGAGCATGGGAGAGGGGAGAAAAAGGGCCCACCTTATTCCAAAATCGCATTTTGAACAAGAATCACGTGAGCATGGCAGGAAAGAGAGCGATGGGGGGAACGGGGGGGGAGGAGTTGGTGGGTGGGGTGTGGGTGGATCACAGCAGCATGCCCGCATCCCACACACGTGACGTTGTACTAGATTGACTAGGTTACTTTTGAGTCGACTCAGAAGTCGCATGCCCGCGTCCCACACAAGTGACAGTTGTATTAGATTGACTAGGTTATGGAATGCGATATTTGAACGAGGTGTATCGACTTGGGGTACTGATTGGGTTATGGAATTCAATCTAAACGAGGTATACTCACTGGGGTTTGAGCAGGTCCAGCAGTCTATGGCGCCTCTCCTCGGGAATGTCACCAATCTTTTTCCTGCAGCCAAAGAGAGCGTGACAGAGCCGAAGGGAGAATAAGGGGAGGGGAATGATGGTGAGTGATCAAGGAACGCGAATGAAAACGTTAGAATAACGAGGGCATACGAGTAGGCGTCAGAAGCAAGGCTGACTCTTGCAAACGAATAAGAAACATATTGCCTCATCTACGGAACAATACACATGTACAACAAATAAGTTACACTGAATGAACATCGTGCTCGATAATAGATGCCTCGATTGAAACGCTCACCACAGGAAAACCGCCGGATTGTAAGTTTCCGGATCGGACGGCCGTAGATACCGGGATCCGTCCAGGAATCCCGGGATGTCCAGCTCATCTAGATAGTACTTCCGTCCGTCCACGAATCTGTACGGCTTCTCCTCCTCCTCCACTTGCGCCATCTGCTCCGCTATAAGCTCCCTCAGTTTCGCCTCTCGTCGCTCGGCTGCTTCGGACGCCGCTATTGAAACGTTCATATCGCCGTTTGATGCGCTGTGAATGCGCTGCGAGCGTCGGCGGGTGATTCTAACGGATGTGATTCTAGGGGAGACTCTGGCGCAAACGGTGGACGAAATGGCTGGCGGCACGGTTAAAATTTCGGGAAATGACGAAGCCATGGCGGCGGCAGCCATGGTTGCCATAAAAAGGAACGAGCTTGGGGCAAGAAAACCTCTTCGGAGTACGACTTTCGAATTTGAGGACTCCTTGGGAGCGAGGACTACGAGTGGAAATTCATAATAAATTCGAGTTCTGCTAGTCCCGCCATCATTGACGCTGCGTGGGCATGAGACATGCCTGTTATCCGCAACATGGTTGCTGGCATGGCGTCTGTATGGTTTCTTGTTGCACCTGCGGTGTAGGAGATAAGCGTAGGTGAACGTGGCACGCAAGTTTGATTATGCCAAGTTCTTTTAGGTACTTTTTTTTTTTTTTGGATGCAAAATACACTAAAGAAGTGCAAAATACATCGGCAGTCGTAACTGTAGCTGATGGGCCTAGGGGGATACCACCCTCCGTACCCATCCTGAGCTTCTAAGGAGGACGGAAAGCAGCCCTCGGGTTCGACCAGATGGCCATGAACCCTTTAGACCACGTGGCCGGTTGTGCTGTGCTGTCGAGGATGTGGCTCAAGACCCGGCACTCGTCATCATCCAGTCCAGGACGAGTGGCACCGAGCCTCTTGGATGCCGCCTTGGCACGCTTGTAAATCCTGACGTGCAGCTGGAAAGACGCCGCGATCCTCCGCAGCGCCCTCCTGGCTCGGAACTTGCTACGTTCAAACACCGCATCACACCTTTCCACCCAGATTCGGTGAAGTGCAATTGCTGTAATCGAAGCCTCGGGGAAGCCCGAAGCTGTCCCCTCCTTCTTGAAAATCAGGTCCCCCAGCGTTTCGATCTTCCGATGCGGATTCAGCATGCGGAGCGCCTTCAGTAATGCCCGAACCACCGGTTGGATACGTGGGCAGAGAAACAGCCCGTGCTCCAGCGTCTCTCTCTCCCCGCAATGCGGGCATGTGACACCAGTACCCAGAAAATGTAACCGCTCCCCCACCTGCAGGTTCCGGCTGTGGATCCGGAGCATCACGTCCCTCGCACGGTTCGGAAGGGCCGTTGAGTCCCGTACGTCGATCACCCTCTTCCAGTCGATCCGACGGCCGAAGGATTCTTCCCAAGTGGTCTGCTGCTTCGGTTTCCCGCCACACCGCTTGAACCCCTCCTTCAACTGTTTCAGCTGCGCCGGACGGTCCCCATCCCAATTGGGCGAACACAGCAGCCTCGCTTTAGGGGCGCCAGCAGGGCCAAGAAAACGACCCTCCCTGACCACCGCAGGTATTACCTCGCGCGGCTGGAAGCTGCGCAGCTTCTCCTCTGCATCCCCCAAAACCCCCCTAACACAGCTGATAGCTCGGCAGACTAGGGTTTCACCCTCCACACACTCAATCCTCCAGACCCCGTGGCTCGTCCCTGCCTTCAGCACGAACTTAGAGGCAGCTAGCACCGTATGCGCCGTGACAGGCGGCAGCAGCAGCTGTTTCCACTCATCCGGGGCAGCGTCGAAAACCCTCTTCGCCAGCTTCGCACCTGCCGAACCCCCGAATTCCCGCTCGAGCTCCTGGGTGCCCTTAAGAGCCCTCGAGCCGTCCCCAGCGGTTTTAATTAGATCTTTCATGACTGACCGCTTCAGACCTTTAGCCGCCTTTTGCCGTCCTGCAGGCGTCTTTCCGTTAAGAAGCAGCATCCGATTGAAAAGCAGCAACTCCTGTTCCACATCCCACACCGACGACACGCTGACGCACAAGGGGAAGCTAGACTCCAGGAACAGCTCGCAGGTCCGCTTCCACCTCATACTCCTCCCTTCCCATTGCTTTATCAGCCCCGTGTGCGCCCAGAAAATCTGAAGATCAGGGACGTCCAGCGCTGCTAGCGCAAGATCAGCGCGCAACCCCAACGGCTGTGACGCCAGCAATGCAATCCTCCTGGCTGCCAGGCCCCCCAGCTCGGCGCACGGGTCCCGGACGCCAAGGCCACCTTCTCCTCTTTCCTTGAACAGTAGCTCCTGACTCCAGAGCGCAAACTGCTTCCCCGCCGTTGAGTGGTTACCGGTGACGAAGTTGTGAAGCAGCTTCACCAGCTTTGCCCAGATCTCTGTTGGGGGGGGGATAGACCTGCGCCTGGAAAGCGAGGATCGGGTTGATGTACCCGTTGACCACAGCGACCCTGCCTGACGTAGTCAGGTAATGAATCTGCCACTTCACCAGCTCCGATGTCGCCCTCACCAGGGTGATTTCCCAGGTTACCGATGCGTCTCCTGAGGGTGAGACCCACACCCCCAGGACCCTTTCCGCCTCACTCGACAACACCCATTTGAAAACTGATTTCTTGTCCGGCTTCTTGCGCAGGTTCCTCCCCAGGGGCATCAGCGCGGACTTGTCCTTGTTAACGCGGAGCCCCGGTTGATCTCCAAACTCTCCCAGCAGCTTCACCGCTCGTCCGATCTGCCTTTTCCCCTTGAGCACCAGCGTGGTGTCATCAGCGTACCCCAGGTACGCAAGCCGTTCGTCGTACGGATTGCTGATCCCAAGCTTCCTTCTTTTTGATTCTTGGCAGAGAGGCTCTACCGCGCAGAGGAAGAGATACGGCGCCAGAGGACAGCCCTGCCGCACCCCCTTCCTGACCGCTACCGGCTCCCCCAACCATCCGTTGAGCAACAGCCTTGTCGTTGAACCCGCGTGAAGGCCTTCGCACCACTGCACGAATCTTCGCGGGAAGCCCATTCTCTCCATTGTGCCGAACAGGTACTCGCGCGAGACTGAATCAAAAGCCTTTTGAAAATCCACCAGAAGCAAATACCAGTCTTCGTCCTTGCACTTCGCCGCCTCCACAATGTCTGCGATCAGTGAGACGCCGTCCGCCAGCCTCCTCCCAGGTAAGAACCCATATTGCTCCTCCGAAATAACCTTGTGTAGCACTTTCCGCATTCTGTTTGCCAGCACCCGCGCCACTAACATGTACGTGCTGTTGAGCAGCGTGATTGGCCGGTAGTTCTGCACCTGGTCTTTCGCGCCTTTTTTGTGCAACAGGACCGTGACCGCCTCCAGAGCGGCAGGAGGGAGGACAGCAGATTCCTCAAACTGCTTCACGAAACCAAGCAAGTCACCTCCCAGCAAGTCCCAGTGCTCACAGAAAAACTCCTTCGGGATCCCGTCAGCACCGGGGGATTTGCCTTTCGCCATGCCGTCCAGGGCCTCCCTCACCTCCCCTTCAGACCATTCTGCTGACAACAACTGGACCTGCGCCTCCCCCAACCTTTTGTCAGGAGCAATCTGCCAATGCGGACCGCCCGCCGAGGTGGGTTCCGAAAACATCTCCGCATAAAACTCAGATGCGGCGTCGAGTATCCCCTTAGAGTCCTTCCGCACCGTACCCTTCCACTGAAGCGCTGAAATCATTGTTCTCTCCTTCCGTGTCTTGACTTTTGCAGACATGAGCTTGCCAGGCATCTCCCCCTCGCGCAGCTCCTTGGCTCTCGTCATGAGCGTGAGCCTCTCTTGCTCAGAGGCGAGGTATGCCGCCAGTTGGGACTCCTTGGCTCTCAGCTCCTCCCTCCGGACAGAGCAGTAGGGGTTCCGCATCACTTCCTGCTGCAAAACCGCCACCGCCGCATCCAGGTGACGCAGAGTAGCTTTAACCCGCTTCCGTTCTTCCGTGGAGTACTTCCGCAGCGCCATGTTCACTTTCCTCATGAGCGCGGTGAAATCACCCGTCCCCATTTTCCCGTGCTCCTCTCGGACTGCAGCAACCGCTTTCGCCGCACCCAGCTTACTGACCTCTGCTGCCTTACACCTCCATATTCCATGCCCCATACATAATTGCAGGCTGACTTTGAAGGTCGCCTTAACCCCGAACCAGTGATCCGAGAGGCCTTTCAGCGGACGACAATGCGACGCATCCATGAGCACCGGCATCAGCGGCGCTGAGATGAGAGCTCAGTCAATTCGTGAGCTGGTCTTGGCAGACTTGGATAGAAAGGTAAACTCCTTCAGCACCGGGTTCATCCAGCGAAAAGCATCGGTAAGACAGTGTGCCGAGCAAATCTGCAAAACGCTGCCATTTTCGCCCGACGAACCCGCTCCGGACGACCTGTCCAGCAGAGGGTCCTCCACCATGTTAAGATCCCCGATCAAAATGAAATTTTTCTTCCCCGCAGAGTTCGCCATGAAAGGAGCAAGCACGCCGGCGTAAAACGGTCGTCGCATACAAGCCTTCGCCGGGAAATAAGCGGCTAGAATCATGCAGCAGAAGGAGTCCCACTGGACATCAGCTTGAAGCAGCCGGCCCGAACTGTGTGTGACAATATTAGTGAAAACGAGAGACTTGTTAAAGCTTAAGATGGCTACTCCCCCTGCCTTCCCCGCAGGTCCAATGGCGTGACAGTGCGGAACCTTGAGCCTCTTCCAGAAGTCGTGATCTGCACCAATGCGTGTGTCAGCTAAGACGAAAATGTCAGGTGGTTTCTTTAACCTGTCAGAACATTATAGCTCATGCATATTGTGTAGGCTATAGTGGGGTAGTCCATAAGGGGTACAACCCAATTAGGGTTAGTACTTGTACCCAATTCATTCATAGTTCATTCATTCCTTGTTTCTTCTCATGGTATCGAGCAGGTTCCCTAACGGGAACGATTCCTAGGGCCCACCACTACGAGTTTTTTTTTTCCTGCCCGGAGCGCGCTTCGCTCCGGCCCGAGTCGCGCCCGGTGTGCTCTCATCACCGTCGCGCCCTCACTAGGCCCCTCACGGCCCCCTAGCGCCGCCCTTAGCGGGCCCGTCGCACTGCCCTTCGCGGCCGCGTCGTGCCGCCCTTTCGCGGCCCCGTCGCGCCGCCCTTCGCGGCCGCGTCGCGCCGCCCTTTCGCGGCCCCGTCGCGCCGCCCCTTTCGCGGCCCCATCGCCGCCCTACCTGCGGCCTCGTCGC